AGAAACGACATTATCTTTAAAGTGCTCGTAAACTTTAATCACTGCGGCTGAGTCATCGCTTTAGGCTCTGAATGAGTAGTTGTGTGAGAATGACGAAAGCTTTTTTTTCTCATTCTGTCAGTCAAGACTTGGCTTATTGTTCTTCCTTGAAAGTTTATCAGCAGTACTACCACCAGAAAATAGCGTGCTAAAAGCCATCCAGTTATTACAAAGCGCTTTTAAATTCCTCAGGCAGCAGAAATAATGACTTTTTTTGGCTCCGGCCTTCCATTTTTCATGCCGCCGTCACAGCCAATGATTTGATTTGGAACCAGACTGCTCATTTGCATATGGCCTAAATATAGTCAGAGAATGTCTATGCAAACAAAGTCCAATATATTTACATTCTCTATATTTCTCATATGCACGAAATCACAAAATAGGACATGAATATAAGCGTTCGAGCAATACAGTCATGGTCTGTTACAAAACCTAGTGAGCTGCCTTCTCCAAACCATCATGAGACTTCATAAGTGGCTGATTCAAGACATTCTACATACACAGCATCATACAAATTACTTATGCACATTATTAAATTACTTATGCAATAAAGTGCACAAGATTTTGTTGTTTTATGATATGATTAATTAATGTTTCTGATGCCTGATGACACAAATTCAAAATCAGGCATTGTTGTTGATTTTTCTTTTTTTCTTTTTTTATTGTTTTTATTTTTATTTATGATTTTATTTTATTTTAAGATTTTTTTTATTCAAACGGTACAAAACAGGTCTTAAGTTTCTACTTGTTTTAGAAAGCAGCAAGAAGAAATGTTAAGTATAAATAAATAAAAAAAGATCAAATATTAAATTAAAAAACAAACACAAGGGTTTTGCTCACAAAAGAAAAATAGCATAATTGTAAGACTTTAAACAGATTGCATAATAAGACTTTCAACAGATTTCAATAGCTGATAAACGAAACAATTTCTTATACATATTAAATACACAAACAATTATGTAAAATATATTTTTTAAATCACCAATTTTATTATATTACTAAATTTATAATATGAATTTACATTCTTTATATACCAATTTATAATCTATGTGTAAATATAATCTATTATATATTATATACTATATATATGTTTATAATGAATATTATATATTTTTTATTAATAAATCAACATTTTTATCTACACTTCTCAGTATTGAATCAACTCTACCTATATATTTATAATCAATTTCTTTCACCTTGTATACCATCCTGGATTTTTTCACTGTGCACAGCCAAATGCATTATGGGATTGACTTGTGCACCAAGAATACATGCTTAATCTTAAAAGGCAACATAATCATGCATTTCAGAACTGCATTCCCGCTGTGAGGACTTAAAATGCTACCCACGTAGGCAGCTCACTAGGTTTTGGAACAGAGCCTCAGTGTGTGTGTGTGTGTGTGTGTCGACCGCCAGTCATGTTTTGCATATTTACGTAATGGAGCTCCTGGTACGATATCCCATAAGAAAGAGAGGGAATGCAAATTAGATATGACTGTTATACAATAGGCAGCATTCCAAGATGGAGAGGAAACGAGAGGGAATAATTTGATTTTTCTGGTGAAATCAAGCACTGAGCCATTCATGACTCTCTGGTCTGCTCTCTAATGGGTCACGGACCCGCGAGGCCATAGATTCGAGTCAGGATAAACATTTTATATGGAAGGAAATTAAGTATTCGATCATTTACAGTGGATAAGCAGGAAGCAAGAATGTGCTACTGTAATACTGCAAAATTCTCAATGTCACAAAAGCTTTTAATGGTTAGTTTTCCACAAATCAGATGGTAACATAGAAGCTCTATGCTGTCTCCCAAGACATTTTCCAAAAGAAAACCTGGTCCAGGATAAATCCATCTGCGGCCAGAAACGCAGCTCTGATTTAAACTTTTATTAAATCCAAAACACACATTCAAGCACTTTCCTCCTGAAGCCAGCTGCCTTTCCACTGAAACAGTTTAAACACACTATGAAATCTGTTATAGGTGGGATTAAGCACTTTAAAATGAGCGATTGGTGCTTAAATATTCTTTCTTTGAAGGATTTGTTGATTTAGAGGCTTCTCACATCATATTAAGTCCATCCTTGTTTTAAGCAAGTGGAAATACAGTACTATTAGCAGGAATTAGATAGGCTTAAAATGAATAATTACAGCAGGAATTAGGCTTTCTGTTGCAGAGAGGTATATTGACTGTCTGCCACATTTTTAATTGCTGGACTTTACTTATTACTCGAGAGAGTCTAATAAGCGAGATTTAGCTTTGAGCAGAGGACGAGTCGTCCCGCTCCGCTTTCACTGCAACGGCCGTCACACAACGCTGCAAAACTGCTTTGACACTGCATTGATTCCACCTCTAATAGCTGGATGACCACACTCTCTGTTTGTGTTTCTCTGTGCCGTTTATGTGCCGTAGAGTGGAAGGATTTCCTGAAGCAAGAACTCTAATGCTAACATTAATGATAGCTCCACAGCTCTACTCCCAGGAGCTTTCGAGACTAATTTAAATGCACTCTTAACCCAAATTCCTGCTTTATTTACTGATCATGTGGAGGGCCGGTTGTATTATATTTCAATATTTTTTAGCCTGTTTGAGATATTTAAGTATATCCATGGAAATGATTCATTCAGAATAACCGTTTCAACCAAATAAGCTATTGTTCACAAATAGATTCCAAATTATTCAAGCAAGAAGTAAAATACAGGAAAAATAATTTTTTTGCATTAAAGGGGTCATCGGATGCCCATTTTCCACAAGTTGATATGATTCTTTAGGGTCTTAATGAAAAGTCTGTAACATAGTTTGGTTAAAATTTCTCAATGGTAGTGTAAAAAACACCTTTTTTACTCTGTCAAAAACAGCTCTTTTCAGAGCAAGCCGTTTTGTAGCATTTTCCTTTAAATGTTAATGAGCTCTGCTGACCCCGCCCCTCTCTTCCGAGCCGCTCTCTGAGGGACTGTTTACTTTAGCCGCATTCATCGTGAAACTTGCTAATTAGCACATTATTAGGAAAGGCGATTTGCAAAGATTAATTAAAAAAACTTGTACTCACTTCTTCTGCCGGTGAAGCTGGATCATGAATGATTTGCGCGAACATAGACGCATTTATGTAGATCGGGGGCGCATTCTCTTCAAAAACAAACGTAATCGACTGCGTCTTCAGCGGCTCAGATGTCGGGAGTAAATGCTGCTTGTAAAAGTGCATGTAGCATCCGATGACCCCTTTAAATGACCACAAGTAAGAATAGTTTAAAAAAATTTCATTTATATGCCCCAATAAAACAATAAATAGTCATAAACAACAAATTTGCATGCATATATTCTTACTAAATATTTTAATATATGAAAAATGCCACATAAAAGATGTCTGTGAACATTCTGTGATGGCACAACGAAATCACTGAATCAGAGTTTTGAATCAATTCACTGAACTAATTCGGAGAAATGAATCAAACAACTCGAACACTGTTTTTGTGACTGAAGTTTAAATGAAAGAAGCCATTAAAATTTGTTTTTGAAAGGCATGAGACAAGAAAGGAAAACGAAACTAGTCAAAACTTAATGGCTGGATAAAATAATCATGATATTCGAAATAATTTGAATTCTCTCTGCATAATTTTAAATCGTCAGTAAAATTATGCCATGAATATTGGATATAGTCAAACCTAAATGTGAATATTACTCTCCATAACTGTCATTACATTGTTTTTTAACACTCTTTTTGTATTAATTTTGTATTATATATTATTTAATGAGCAAACTAACTAACAATATATCTTACAATAAATGCTTTTTTGAAATGCAACAGAAAATAGTTTGATTATTAATTATTCATGTGGTGATGTTTGTTTGTGGATCATCCAGGGACTCAAATTCTTCATAAATAAAACCTACTTCATCTCATTTGATTATTCAAACAGATTGCTCCTATTCTAAAGTCTGATTGGTTGAGGCACATTTAAAACCCTCCAGTGACTGTGCATCAATTGAATTCTGTATTAATGCAGTGAATCATATTGTTACTTGGCAACCGTCAACAACTAGCGTTTTGCTTATCAAACAATACATTTTTCTCATATTAAGAAAATTATGCGCTTTTCTGTTTGTTTACATTTAAATATCATAAAACAGCCTTGCCCTCTAATAATTAGAAAAATTTACACTCCCATTTAAATGTTGTTCTTTTAAAATAAAATTGATCAAAAGTGACAGTAAAGACATTTTTAATGTTACAAAAGATTTATATTTCAGCAAAACTACTCATAAAAGAATCCTGAAGAAAACTGCTTTTAAAATTGATGATAAGAAGAAATGTTTCTTGAGCAGCAAATCATCGTATTAGTATGATTTCTGAAGGATCATGTGACACTGAAGACTGGAGTAATGATGCTGAAAATTCAGCTTTGATCACAGCAATACATTTCATTTTACAACATATTCAAATAGAAATCAGTTGTTTTCTCAATATTCACAATATTGCTGTTTTTACTGTATTTTTAATTAAATAAATGCAGACTTGGTGAGCAAAAGCGACTTCAAAAACATGTAGTGTATACAGTATAGTACAATAAATACCATCTCATGCATTTCTACCATCACACTGTATATTCAATTACAGCATCCAGCTCTGATGTTTAATGTGTTTGAATGCGAGACTGCCTGTGAGTCACATCACCCGCCTGGAAAGGAGTATTTATGAAGCACAAGTGCAGCACAAGTTCATTAGCACAAATCCCATTGAGCCCAAGTGTGTGTGTTTGACTGTTAATATGAGTGTTTTTGGCTCATTTCTGGTTGCCCTCATTCACCTCTACAGATTATGGTGCTGTGCCTGCTATCGACTGTCTCTCCGCTGTCTGTTTTCCCTCTCGCTCTCTCTCTCCCTCCCTCTGATGATGGTAAAAATATCTGCAGGAGCACAGGCACAGCTCTCTCTCTCTCTCTCTCTTCCACCCATGTGATCTCTCAGGCAGGCGTCGCTGTGCACAATCTCCAGCCCTCCGCCGGCTGCAGCTAATGAGTCTTTGTGTGGCTCGAGCGAATGAGAGCGAGTCTTCGGTCTGTTTTAGACCGGCGCGTATGCTAACAGCAGTGGAGACCGGGTTTACCTCTCTCGCCCCGGTCTCCTCTCGAGTCCCAGTGCAATGGAGGGCCTTCATTCAGACCGTCTCATCTGGCTCTGAACGGCGTGAGGGAGGAGAGTAAAGCGGCGGCGGACGCAGGTTGGTGCATTTTGAAGTGAAGCATGACTCGTGCCCTGTGTTTCTGTTCTGATGTGTCACGCACGGCCTGATGGGAAATCTGAGGTCAACTTCTGTGAGCGCTCGCTGCTGCTTTGACCTGCACTATATGAGATGTTAACCTGTAGAGATTTTCAGATTATAACGTGGTAGATTTGTGTCTCAAACCAGTCAAGATGAGGAACTTGTTGGTAAGGGGCTTTAAGTTAACTGCATACGGTTGCCAAGCAACTTTATAACTTGCTTCATTAATGTAAAAAATTGTTTTTATTAATGTGCATCATAGGTGTACATCACTACATTGTCTGTTTTATTATATTAAAAATATCTCAACTACATATATATACAGTATAGAGAGAGAGAGAGAGAGAGAGAGTATGACTTGTCAATTGTTTTGAATAATCTTTTGGTCAGCTTCCATCAAGTTCCAAATAAGAAAGGAAATTATCAGTTGAAATGTTGAAATGAAGCACCTTTCATTTGTAAATAAAATATATAGATATAGACTATCTCAAAAATGTATTTCCATATGACTGTGTTAATAAATAAATATTTTTTATAGATTAAATTAAATACAGATTATCTTAAAATAGGTATTACCACATACATATATTTATATACAAACTTTTTTTTTAATAGATGAATTAAATATATTAAACAGAGATGATTCCAAAATAGGTATTAACACATGACTGTCTTACTAAATAAACGTAAAAAATTTATATATATATATATAT